ACTAGAGTTAAATCTGAGCACAGCCTCACTAAAAGACATTGAATCAATGACTGATTGAGCATACTTAAAATACTTGGGAAGACAAAGTCCTATACATTGGTATCTTTAGGTTATTCAAATTCAAGTTGTGAACAGAATTGTTGGCAACAGATAATACGTGCAGGTTGCCGGATCATCTTATTAGCAGAGAAGTCCTTGCCACTACTTTAATTCAAGCTGAAAGTAAAAAGTGGCTCCATCTTAAAAGGTGTGAGTTTCAAAGAAAGAAAGAATCTATATGATTCTCGAGTTTTGCTAGAATTGATAAATTGGTAGTCATGAAGTCCAATTCACTTGTGTTACTAACAAGAACAGCTGAAGAAAGAAACAATGATGTGAGGAAGTCTGACCTATTCAAACTCTATTTGGTCTCAAAGGTGACTGAAAAGACTAAATAGCTAAGAAAATGGGAGGAAAAGGTCAAACATAGGGGTAGTAGAGCAATCTATTTTGCAATATTCTTGATCCATCTAGTCTATCATCGTAAAATCCAATTGATTTTAAAATTAGGAGAAGTAGGATTTAATGAATCACAAAAAAATTGGATGGACAACAATCCATCCTCTTTTATTCTCAAATCAATTTGACCATCTAATCAACATTTAATGAATCAAATTAAACCAACATGTGTTTCAAAATTATTCTTTTTCTAGGATTTATTTAAAAAACTGCACCCCTTTTTCTTTAGTACGAGGGATATTCACGGTCAGATCGTTTTAGTTTAGTTCAGTTTTGACAAATTTCTTTCATCAGGCTCAAACCAAACTAACCCAACCATGAAGAGATTGATTGGTTCAGTTTGTGGTTAGTTTGAAAAAAAAAAACAGTTTTGAATTAGTCATCATATTTTTTTAATATATTAAAATAATTTTATAAAAAGATTGAATGATTTTATTAAATGAATCATCCAGGTGGATTGTATTTTGTAATGAAATTTTGATAAAAATGAATTGATTTCAATCCATCCATTTCAATTCGAATTAAAATTTATCCATTCTATCCATTTGTGAGGCCTAGTCAAACAAAAAGGTACATTGCGGGGTTTCTCATGTATAATGAGACAGTAGCCACTTGAACCACAAAATGGGCCACCATTGGCCTTGGTCACAATTTGCTGTGAAAGACAAACTCTCCACTACTCTACTGCTCCTCTATCATCACACCCGGTTACTGCAACTCCGTCACAACTGATGGTAGGAATCTTACAAAATTCTTTTCTAATTTCACATAATTAATTACAATTTTTCTGATTTAAAGTAAGAAAAAAAAACCATAAAGACACAGGACCACTATAGTAGTTGTTCAATCAGTATCCTGCCGAAGTGAGCGTGATATCTCAATTCATACATAAGATGTAAATAAAATGATCCAGATAACATAACATAGCGCGGAAAAACTTAATTAATGGTAAACCAATCCAACTATCAGAGGGTTCAGAATGAATAGTGAAAAAGCGTTACCTGCCATCGTAGACAGCATCGAAAACGAAGGAAATAAGATGATGATCGGGGTGTTCCTGGTCAACCTCGAGGCGCAGGGTGTCTTTGTGAACGTTAACATTGTTTCTTATCTTCTTCGCCGCCTGGTGATCGACATAGGGGGGAGGAGTGGAGGCAGAGGAGCGAGTGGCGGCAGCCCAGGCGCTAGACTGAGGGTGGTAGAAAGGTTGGTAGTGAAGGCTATTGGGAGCGGAATTGGCGTAGTTGGGATAGGCACTCTGGTTGGCGTAATAGAAGGAGATGGAATGGGTCTGCGGCGGTGGCGGTGGTGGCAAAGGGGGAGGAGCGGCGTAGTTGTTGCAGTGCGGGGTGTAAGTGGTTGTGGAAGGGAGGAAGTAGCCCTGCGGTGGCGGCGGAGGGGGAGGGTGGTGGGATTGGGGAGGGTAATAGTAAGGGGGAGGTGGGAGTGGAGGTGGGGGTTTTGGATGTAGTTGTTTCTTCTTCTGCCACTCCATGAGATACCCATGGGAGTGGTTGAATTCAGAATCAGAAACAGCGAGATGAAGACGATGAAACAGAGCTCCGAATCGAGTGAATGCGTGTTGTGTGGGCAATTGAGTTGAAGCCACCCTTCTGTGTTTTCTTTGCTCTTTTCAACGTTTTCTATTGTTTTCCTTTTTCCCTTTACTTTTCTTTGTCCATCCTCCTTAACCGAACAATCGCGTCATTCAATGAACCTTCCTTCCTTACAGCACTGAATTCAAAAGAAAATCATACACAAAAGGGAAAAAAATTTATGATATTATTATTATTATTATTATTATTATTATTATTATTATTATTATTATTATCAGAAACACATAGTAATTAACCATAAATATAGTTTAAAAAAATTTAAGATCACAAGAAAATTATTAATAACTGCATATATAAACTTAAATTTAAAATTACTAATTAAACTGAAATGATTTTTGTATTAGTTAATTGAGGATGTGTTTAATGTGTTCTTTTAACCTTTTTTCTTTTTCATTTACAATTTCATACAATAGTATATAATATTAGCTGTTTAAAAGGTATTTTTATTAGTTTTCATTATTTATTTGGGATAATTTTGATAACGTCACTTAAACTTAAACTCAATAGCAATGATAAATGGTAACATTTTTCTGTTAGACAATCAACATGTTTGGTGATGGTTTTTTAAGAATTGTTTTTTTTTTACTTTTATTTTAAATTTTATTATTTTCCATAATTTAAAATTAAATTTTAGTATTTAAAAGTATTTATTAATAATTAAAATATCTTATAACATCATAGTATAAATTATTTAGTGTAAAAGTATATTTTATGTCTAAAATAAGACTAAAATTATAATGTATCACATTAATTACATTTTATGTAGAGTATGGAAAGGTAATTATTGAATCTTACTTTAAAGGATTAAAGTTCGGATAGTTAATATGGTATCATTTTAGAAATTAACCTTTTCCTATTTTTGTAAAGTTAATGTACCATTTGGAAGGCTAACTAATTCTAAATAATATTTTTTGCAATGCAATGTTTAGTGTGATTAAGTTGTTTTTTTCTTCTTCTTTTTTTTCTTCCTCACAGTACAACATTGGCCTTTACACTTAAATTCTTCTTCGCAAATAAATCCTTTTGGATTTTTATTGAAGAATAAAAACAAATAAATATAATTTGATGATATATTCTTTTACATTTTTATGCAGAAAAAATATTCTTTTTACATTTTTCTTTTATAAAGTGCGTTTGAGTAAAATATTTTGTATTATAATTTTTTTATATATATTAACTTCGAACTTATATATGGTGAAACGTCTATGTTTATAAAATTTTATAACATTGAAGGACCATACCAATTAGGATAAAATTGGATTAAATAATAATTAAGAAAATAAATTGAGTTAGATAACTATCTCTCTACGGTAACCTATGAAACTTTGGTTGCATTATTATTTTTAAATAAAATTCTTAAAAATGTAATTTTTCAAATATTCTTAATTTTTTGAAAAATTTTAAATATTATATTCTATTTTTTTATTATTATATCTGTCAAGTTTTATTAAAATTATTTTATTTATTTTATTATATATTATTAATTACTTATTATTTATTATAATATTTTATATTAATTATTATCTATTAATTTATCTATTATTATATTTTAGATTATTAATAATATAAAAAATATTTAGTTAAAAATAAATAAATTTCATTTTATAACTCGTTCTTGAATGTATTTCATCACTTTATTTAATATATATATATATATATATATATATATATATATATTAATTTTATTTTTTTTAAGGTTCTCAAAATCAATACTCGAGATACGTTTATCAATTTCATAAATCCTCCTAGGAATACGATTATCAATCTCATAAATCTTCCTATCGATACGGTAATACCAATTATTAATTTGAATCAGGTTCACCAAAACCATGATTCAAATTCACAGTTTAAATATTTATCAGCCAAATAGAATAAATTTTATGTAAGGCTGCGAAGGAGGATCCCAATGAAAAAAAAAATTAGTTGTGAAGTTATGCCAAAGCCAGTAGCAAGATCCTTATGAATATTGTTAGTAATAAACCACAAAACATTCCTTGTGTTTCTTATAATCCTGCAAGCAAAGGAAGATCCTGAATGCAACAGTTGTTACAAATTACACATTGAAAATTTGAAGTATGGCGAAGTCTTAAAATAACATCTCTATAAACCATTGTTAATACAATCGTTGTTAATAATAGTAATTTTAAGAATAAAAATAAATATCTTATTATAAATATTATATATGAATTATTTAAAATTAGAAAAAAATTATTTATATAAATAATTTGTAACAAATTATGTGTAATCCATAATAAAAAAAATTTATTTTTAAATAATTTTTGTTAACAATTCTCTTAAAAAGTTTTAAATAATTTCAAATGTTGCTTATCATTTATCAATGCATGGAATTTAAGTGATATTGGTGAAACTTTCCCTTTAAAAGCATTATTTTAATCAACTTATTTACTATTGACATGTAGATAAAGACAAAAACAAACATAAAAACATATAATCAATTAATTAATACAGTTTTATTTCAGTTTAATTAGAAATTTTAAATTAAAAATATTATATATGGTGTTATATTAAAAAGAAAAATATTATTATTGATAGTAATCCTCAGAACAGAATTGTTCCTGGTCAAAGATATGAAAATAATAACAATAATATAAATATTTTAAAACTAGTTTCATCTTGCGTATGATTTTCCTTTGAATACAGTTTTGTAACGAAGGAGGGTCCACCTAATCACGCGATTTGTGAAGTTAACGAGAATTAATCGGGAAAGGTAAAGGGCAAAAAGGGAAAACCAAAGAATACTTTGAAAGAGCAAAGAACACAAGGGTGGCTTAAACTCAATTTCCCACACAACACGCATTCATTTGATAGGAACTCTGTTTCACCATCTTCATCTCACTGTTTCTGATTCTGAATTCAACCACTCTCATGGGTATCTCGTGGAGTGGCAGAAGAAGAAACAATTACATCCAAAACCCACCACCTCCACTCCCACCTCGCCCTTACTATTACCCTCCCCAATCCCACCACCCTCCCCCTCCGCCGCCACCGCAGGGCTACTTCCTCCCTTCCACAACCACTTACACCCCGCACTGCAACAACTACGCCGCTCCTTCTCCCTTGCCGCCACCGCCGCAGACCCATTCCATCTCCTTCTATTACGCCAACCAGAGTGTCTATCCCAACTACGCCAATTCCGCTCCCAATAATAGCCTTCACTACCAACCTTTCTACCACCCTCAGCCTAGCGCGTGGGCTGCCGCCACTCGCTCCTCTGCCTCCACTCCTCCGCCCTATGTTGATCACCAGGCGGCGAAGAAGATAAGAAACTATGTTAACGTCCACAAAGACACCCTACGCCTCGAGGTTGACCAGGAAAACCCCGATCATCATCTCATTTCCTTCGTTTTCGACGCTGTCTACGATGGCAGGTAACGTTTTTCACTATTCTTTCTGAACCCTCTGAAAATTGGATTGGTTTACCATTAATTAAGTTTTGCCGCGCTATGTTATGTTACCTGGACCATTTTATTTACAATTCATGTATGAATTGAGATAGCACGCTAACTTCGGGAAGATACTGATTGAACAACTACTATAGTGGTACTGTGTCTTTATTTATTTATCTTTAAATCAGAAAAAAATTGTAATTAATTAAGTGAAATTATAAAAGAAATTTGTAAGATTCCTACCATCAGTAGTGGCGCTCTTGCGGTGATGATAGAGGAGCAGTAGAGTAGTGGAGAGTTTGTCTTTCACAGCAAATTGTGGCCAAGGCCAATGGTGGCCCATTTCGTGGTTCTTAGTGGCTGCTGTCTCACTATACACGAAAACCCCTGCATTGTACCTTTTGTTTGACTAGGCCTCACAACACAAACGAATATATATTGGATAAATTTTGATTCAAATTATAATGTGGATTAGGAACTACCCGTTTTTATCAAAATTTCATTACAAAATACAATCCATCTGTGACTCATTTAATAAAATCATCCATCTTTTTACTAAGTTAATTTAAAATATTAAAAAAAATATTATGACTAAATCAAAAATGGTTTTTGTTAACTATCCACAAACCAAACCGATAAATCTGATCATGGATGCATTAGATTGGTTTGAGCCATCTCTCATACTAATGAAAAGGGGGCGCAAACTTTTTAATAAATCCTAGAAAAGAATAAATTTGAAACACATGTTGTTCTAAATTTTATTCATTAACTGTCCATTAGATGGTCAAATGATTTAAAATAAAAGAGGATTGGATTGCTATCCATCCAATATTTTTATGATTAATTCAATCCTAGATTTTTTTTTTAATTGAAAATAAATTGGATTTTACATTGATAGACTAGATGGAGCAAGAATAAAGCAAAATAGATTGCTTTGCCACCCCTATGTTTGACCTTTTCCTTTCATTTTCTTAGTTTTTTAGTCTTTTTAGTCTCCTTTGAGACCAAATAGTGTTTGAAGAGCTCAGAGCAACCTTTTCCTCACATCATTCTTTCTTATTTCAGCTGTTCATCTTAGTAACACCAGTGAATTGGACTTTATGTCTACCAATTTATCAATTATAGAAATCTGGAGAAACATGTAGACTCTTTCTGTCTCTGAAACTCATATCTTTTAAGATGGGGAAATTTTTTACTCTCAGCATGATTTAAAGTGCTTAGTTAGTGGTAAGGACTTCTCTGCTAATAAGATCATCCAGCAATCTGCATGTATTTTCAGTTGCACACAATTCTGTTCATAACTTGAATATGAATAATCTAAAGACACCAATGTATAGGACATGTCTTTTCAAGTATTTTAAGTATGCTTAATCAAGTCATTTATTCAATCTCTTTTAGTGAGGCTGTGCTCAGATTTAACTCTAGTCTTTAAGCCTCTACGCTTGAGTATAGCCAGGAGTTACGTGTTATTGTCTTTAATATGCCAAAAATATGTAGGTAAAATTTTTAACATGAGTGAAGTTGCAATAGTTTCAATGTGGTTCTTTAAGCAAGAACTCCAATTGGTGTTCCAAATTGAGTAATTTCAAAATCTTGAACCGAATTGGAAGATTCACAAAGTGGATCAATTGTAGGCAATTTCACTGGGCCCAAACAGCTTTTCCTTCCCAGCATTTGCATTATAAATATGTTCATGGATTGAATTTATGATTTGTTTGATACTTTGATTGACTAATTAGATGAAATGAATTTTGTAAGAACATTTGAAGATTGAGTAATGTTGCATATTTTACGAAATATTTTCTAATTCTCTACTCCTTATTATTGTGATTGGCAGCGTTACTGTCTTCTACTTTGCCAAAGAAGAAGAAAAATGTAGGTTTGTTCCATTATTTCCTGGTGCGTTTCAGCCAGTCAGAATACCCTTTCAGAAAGGAGTTGGCCAGACATTTTCTCAGCCTTCAGGAACAGGAATTGACCTAGGATTCTTTGAGTTGGATGATCTTTCAAAACCCTCACCAGGAGAAGATGTCTTTCCTCTTGTAATATGTGCCGAAACAAGTTTGAAATCATCCTCAACAGATGAAATTCCGGGTGATTCCATGCTAGATCCATCCCCTCACATGCAAATAACTCAAGGTGTCTTAGAGAAAAGTAATGGTGCTGGTACTTTTCTGATAAAAGTAGTAAGGCAGATTTTGTGGATTGATGGTGTTCGTTATGAGTTGAGAGAGTTATATGGAATAGGAAGCTCATCTACAGCTGATTTTGATGACAATGATCCCGGAAAGGAGTGTGTCATATGCATGACTGAACCAAAGGATACGGCTGTCTTACCTTGTCGACATATGGTGAGATTTAATTTTAAATGTGCTTATATAGAGAGTATATGACCAATTTAAGGAAGAAGTTAAGGTATTAGCATTTGCATTTGGATAATAGTTATGGTTCATAGAGATACATAACCCTGGATAATAGCATAATTTGTATTTGCATGAGATTGCTTATGGAAAACTGAGCTCATTTGTAGAATTCCTAATAGGGTGAATGGGTGCTCTGTGATCCCTATATTTAATTTTCTTTTCTTCCTCTCCAGCCTTCCCCTCTTAATTTGTTTTCAAGGTTGTGAGCTTGTGACTAAGTAATCATGAATATATTGATTAAAATCATAGATAAAAATATCAACACTTTACATATATATTGTGGGTGAAATGGATATCTAGTGTTTTGGTTTCTTCCTCACTAATAGCAACCAGTATACTAATTGCTCGTTGGTAAGATACTTACAGATAGCAGCAATGTCACATCATGTCTGTGTATTTTATTTTACACTATATTTAAGTTGGACTAACTTCCACTAACTTAAGACAACTTTTAAATTGTAAAATCCTATTTTCAGGAGGTTTTCAAGGTAAGAATGTCAAGTTATGCCAAGGTGCTTGTAGAAAAGTTAGAAGGACTTTTGAAATAGTTAAGGTGTATGATTTAATTTTAATTTATACAAAAAAATTAATTAATTTTACTGCTTCTATGAGTAGCTATTAAGAAATTTATCCAAATTAAAACTATATTCATATTCTAAGTTGGCTTTTTCTTGGGCAGCCAAGATAAAGTTTATTTAATAAGGGGTACCGCATCCTTTCTTCATTATTAACATCAACATTCCATCTGTACCTAGATCCACATATTATACCCACCCCTACCTGCATGCACTAAATAGAATGTATATTTTTTTTCTTGATTTTTCTCATATTACTTCTGTCTGTTGTGTTTTTCCAGTGTATGTGCAGTGAGTGTGCAAAAGCTCTGCGACTTCAATCCAATAAATGCCCAATATGCCGTCAGTCTATTGAGGAACTTATTGAGATCAAAGTAAACAATGACAATCAGTGAGATTTTTTCTTCTGATGCTAAAGTTGCATGATATTGTCAATAAGTTGCTTTCAAGAAAATTCACCCCCCTTTTGCACTTGTGCAGTCAGGTAATATAGCAATTTTTCTCTTTTTGGTAAATTTTAATCAATAAACTGTTTGTATTTTGTGATGTGATAGAGGGAAAATTAGATCTTCAGTGATTGAATGTTCCTCCCGTGTCATCTATATTGTACATAAGATCGTTTTTCTGTAATTTGTCTTAAGGTGTTTAAGAGATCATTTGCCTTGTTTTATACTTGAACAAGGAGAAATGCCGTCCATGATGAATTATGTTTGAAAGTTATGACATAATGAACCATGTATAGTGGATGTTGAAACATATTCCTGGTGTGATTTATGTGATGTAACATATCGAGTATATAGAGTGGACTAGAAGATACTTGGTGTAGGATGTTCTTCCTATTGCTAGCAAGTGTTGCACCTCTATTCACCCTGCTTGTCATTATCCTCCCGAACATAAATAATGACGTGGTGTGTTTGGATTTATGTTTGAAAGTTGTTTAATGGACATGCAGGAAAGAGAGAAGTGATATTTTATTATCACCTTGAACTGAACGGAAGTTACTTTAGATTAAACGTAGCTTTACACACCCGTAGTCGTTTGTTCCATAATGCATTATTAGCTTTTGTGAGCTATTCATTATGTGTTGCAAGGTATTTGGTTTGGAGGGACGAAGGTGTAACCGATTAAACAAAAAAAATCCCACACACAGATGACTCTTTTCTGCTCATTCTCCTTTGCAGGTCTTGTGATTTTTATTTAGATTCCCGCGGAGATCTCTAAACAACTAATATTTATCGATGAAAGTAAAAATTCGGAAGCATGTTTCGATCCTTTTTTGTTTTTATATATAATTTTATTTGACCAGGGTTAATGAGTGGATAGTATTTGTGTAAAAGAAATAAAAAACTGATTTTTGTACCACAAGAATCAGGTACCTGTTAGGAAACATTGAAACAAGAGGGTAAAAAACGTGAATGGGTGAAAAGTTGATGTCATTTGCAATACTTTTTCTTCAATACTTGAATGCTTGTTTTTTATATTTTGTAGCGTTTAATATCATTTGATTATTAAGGGTACTTTAGGGTTGATAACAATTTTATTTTTTAAATACAATTTTCAAAACAAAACGTTTTATAAAAATGGCTTTGAAATATTTTTAAACTCAATTTTGAAATAGTTTTTGGATCCATTTTCAAACTCCAGAAAGTTATTAAAGAATTTGATTTTTAGTTAAAATACATTCTTAAAATAGTTTTATTATTATTATTATTATTATTATTATAAGTGGCTTATTACATGCATATTTCACGTGGTCAAATATGTTTTTTTTTATGTAAAAGGTTTTAACAATTTTGGTTTTTATTATAATAGCAAAATATTGGTTGGTATTTTTGTTATGTGAACTAGTAATTGTTTACGTGAATCTTTTGACGTGAACAAGTAAAGTGATTTGAAAACTATTAAGTTGATATGTTTTAGCATAATTTTTTTATGTTTTTTGTTTTTAATATATTAGTTAAAATTCTTTTCCAACGCATCCGCATTTCATGGGTCAGATTCAAAAAAAATTTTGTACTAATTTTTAAATTTAAATTACTAATTGAAGAAGATACTGATAAAAAATATTATCCGATCGTGAGAGAGACTGCCTAAAACTTATCTCATAAATCATTATATATTATAACCAATGTAAAAATGCAATAACCCCAACTTTTTATGTTAGGATCTATAAATGTTAAAACTGTTGAACCGGAATATGCTTTTTACATTCAAATATTTGGATTTTAATTAAATCAAAATAAAATAAAAAATTTTTAATAAAACAACTTGATTTTTTGGTTAAATCAGTTTTAATATAATTTTTTATAAAAAATATAATATATTTTATTTTATTTTATCTTATTTTAATAATTATTCATTTTTTATTCTCTAATATATTTTATATTTTTAATTTTTATTATAATATATAATAATTATAACAATCATTTTTATTTTATTTTTTATAAAATATTATTACTAATAAATTTATTATATATTTATTATATTATAAAAATATTATTTTATTAAATTTAATTAAACTTCGGATGAATATTTAATTAAATCTGGGATCTGGTTTTAAAAATATTGAGATTCATTAATGTGTTAAGGTTCCAACATAAAATCAATTGGCGATATGTGGAGTAGTCTAACATGTATTTAAACCATACAAAATGACATGAGGTAGGCAATGTGAGACTTTCAACACACCCTCCAACGAAGCCTACCGGACCAGACAAAGAGTACTTTTGACCCAACTAAAGGGTAACTTTTGGCCCATGACAATAACCGGAAAGATGTTAGGCTTTTGGCTCTGATACCATGTTAAGGTTCTAACATAAAACCAATTGGCAATATGTGGAGTAGTCTAACATGTATTTAAACCATACCAAATGACATGAGAAATACAATGTGAGACTTTCAACATAATATTTATATTTATATTCGGAATTAACAAATGACCTACGATCATTTTTAGCAATTCTTAGTTGGCCCAAATTGTTGAAATATTATTAAATTTAATATCATATCATTCTTAATTGAAAGAAATATATTAACACTCTATAGATCTAAAATTTAATAATATCAAGACCAGACAAATTTTAGCCAATATTTTAAAAATAAGAATCACAAGAAAAATTGCAAAAGTAAAAATATCAAATTTTATTGAAGGAAAAATGAAAATGCACCAAATAAATAATTGCCACGTTAATAAATAATTTGTGGTTTACTTAGTGAACCAATTAAAATGAAAAAATAAATGTATATTAGAAAAAACAAACATTTTTTTGTATCCTTAAAAATTGATATTATCTTATCTTGAGTTGTAGCTTGTGAATTGTTACAGTGACATGCCATAGGACATTTTCAAATTTCCCCTGCAAGAATCGTACTCCATGATTGCAACACGTCAAAGAAAGTATTTTCAAATCTAGGGTTCTACGCCAGCACTGCAAATTTAACGCTGCAACAATCGTACACCACAATGATTGAACCACTGCAACAATGATTTTGCGTTCTGACTCCATAACTTCAACTTCAACCTTGCAAGACACCAACGTTAAAACTCCTATCAAGTTTTGGAACCTTATGCTTTATCATTATCCTCTCAAACGTAATAAAGTCATAGTTGTGTTTCGAAACATAGCATGTATTAAAATTTTTAGGTTTTGAATATAAAAATTTAAATTTTGGAACATAACAGATGAATCTTTTGAACCACATGCGATGAAAAGAAATTGAAATATAAAACAAGATTATTGTGAAGTACGTAAGAGACGTTATAATGGGAGGCGGTTTAAGATCAGGTTAATAATAATAATAATTTGTTTTTTAAATAATATAAATTAATAATAATTTTATTTAAGTCAAATAATATATTTATACATTCTTAATTATATATAAATTTATCACAAAATAATGTTTAACAAATTCAACCATATAAAATTAAAAGGTAAAATAAAGAATTTTTAGATATTTAAAAATAATTTTAATAAATAAATATATATATTTTTTAAATTATTTTTAAATATCTAAAAATTCTTTATTTTACCTTATAATCTCTTATATATATATGGACAAAATAGATCTATTGACAGTATAAGTTTTAAGTTATTTGATTTTGGTAAGTATTTCCTTAATCATGAAACTCTTCTATAAATAAAATATAATTATTTTACCCAATTTCTTTCAATAATTAAATTAACAATATTAAAGATTATTTTTTTAATCATAATAAGATAGAGGTTTATCCTTACATTTAAGAGTGGTTAATGTATAAAAAAAAGTACTATTAAGTCAAGAAAGACAACTCAAATATTTTAAAAATATGTATTTTATTTATTACGTGAAAATTAATTATTCCATATAAAATAATCGATTATGTTATTAAATTTTGTATGGTATAAATAATTTCATTAATATATAACGTTTGTTGTGTGTGACTATAATTAATTGGCTAATCTTTTTATGTATATATAATAAGTTCTTCAATTTATTTTTTTAACCTTTGATTTCTTTTTATTCTCTTTTAAGATCATTTGAGATAAAATCATTATCTTCTTTTTATATAGTCAAATTTTATTTATTATTAATTTCAAAAAATAAATTTTTTTACTATTCACTAAATTGAATAACTATTAAATGGGTTATTATTAATTTTAAAACTTATCTTTCTAACTAATTAGATAATTCATATTTATTTATTTTTATAACAAAGTATAGTTTACTGTTATACGGTTTTGTTGCAAGTTTTTATATGAAATTTTTAAATTTAATAAGTGGATTTATAGTAAAACACATAATTTAGCAATTTACTCTAATATATTACATGAGACAGGAAATACCCCTTCCTTAAAAATGGAACAAAAACTATTTTCAATATCTTAAAAATTATTTTTCCTTTTGTCTTTATTTCCTTATTTAGTTGTACCTTTGTGAAATTCATTATTTTTGTATAATCCATGTTTTTAAAATTCTACATTTAAACCAAAAAAATGTTTGAACGAATGCTAATTTTACACTTCCACATCAGAGACAAGTATGAGTGTCCATTAATCTAAACTAACCTGATGTGATCCAAAATTTCTGGGTCAGTATTTTGATTATTTTAATCAAACTCAACTCAGTAATCAGTCAAATTCATTGTTTTTGTGTTGGATATCATTTTTTTCTTTGTTAAACCATAATAAGCTCAACTCATCTATTACAATATTTCTAATTTTAATTTATATATGTTTTATAAAAAAAATAAACAAAAAAAAATTACATACAATAAATACTATTTTCCATCCCTTCTGCTTTTCCTTGCTTACTCCTTCCTTATTCAAATATTTCTTGTATCTTCTCACTTCTTCTTCATCTTCTTCCTTTTTATTTTTATTTTTTTTAAGTTTAAGTTTTAATTTAATTTGTTTTA